ACTCCCAATCCACACCCACAAATTCACCAAAAAAATTACCCAAACCTTGAAAAATACCAATGTTCCAAGCATAAAGTGAAATGCCTCCGAATCTAATCCAAACAAGACTCTTTGGAACAAAGGATAAATGAGAGGTGTTCTTCCAAACAGTAGTAGTCAGTAACTTATCTCTTACCCTACAAGGTTTAATACGAAGAACGAACTTGACCTCTCGAAATGAAGATAAATTTACCATCCCCAATCTTTTTTGCCAATGGTTCATAGGTTTAAGCCCAAGCATGTTTAGCCTAATCCCCCAACCCAAACAAATTATTTGAGGGGCGTGATAGAGAACCGACAATCACACAAGAAGTATGAAAAGAAGACTCACCTCTACCAAAATCTATTGAAGGGATGCCAGCACTCTACTTCTACGTCTCTTATGTGCTTGAAAAAACAAAGTTCCAAAATTAAAAAAGGACCATCTTTGCCTAAACTATTTTGGCAAAAGAGTTACTTGGGAGATTTTTCTTTTCAATCTGAAAATTTGGATCTACATGACAATCATCAAATGATTGTTATTTCAAAAGTGTTTCTCTCTTTGAAAGTTTGGTTTGGGTGAAATAACGAGCAGGTGTGACTAGTGGTCCACGAGAAAGAGATATTGTCACGGTCTCGTTCCTCACTGATCATAATTCAATGGGGCCCAATAACCTACCACTAATGACAAAGGCTCGAATCAAGGTAGAGAGGTCTAGTGCCCTTTAGCCTCGAATTTGGGTGTAAACACTCAGCCAGCTTTTGCTTGTATACAAGCTGCGTGAAAAAAAGGAAGAATGAGTACTTTCCCTTTATCAATGGGACACATTGACCCCAAATTTCCGATATAGTGTTTGTTACTTTCTTGTATAAAAAATAACCATCCTAGTGCATAATTTACCTTGAATTTAAGGTATTTCCTCAAATTCTTTGAGTAGTTTTGTTAGGATTAGAAGGATCGATGTTGTGCAATGGCCTCTAACGCCTTTGTTACCATTCTCAAGTGGCAAGAGGTCCAAAATGTACATGCCTTTTTCATAGTTGACCTACTGGGAATTGGAGGCAAGATGCAATCGACCAAGAAATGTAAAATGCAACAATCCTTTGAGGGCCTTGGCCACTACGATAGAAAAAGGCTCATTTTCACTCCCATTAAAGTGCTGAATTGGTTAGAAGCTCATTTTCACTCCCAAGGCCACTACCTTAGGGTTGTCGGCACTAGTCTCATAGTGGGACGCATGATTGTGAAGATAGACATGTTGTCACCTTTTCTTTCAACTTTTGATTTGTAGAGGGGGGAAAAGGTGAATGAAGGGGAAGGGCCAAAAGACATTTGGAGTAAGGGAATAGACGGCACTATCAAGAATACGAGCAATCATGAGGAGATGCATGCAAGGGCAATGAGCTTCTACCTTTTAGGGTTTCAATAATTTCCACGAAGAAGTCAACCACCAAATGATAGAAAGCAACGTGAATTCCATTTCCCATCATCCTCTTGTATCCCATGCTTAAGTGCATAGGATTCTCACTCTTATGCAGGCACCTATTTGATATGCCTTTGAGCCCAAGATAGTATTGGATCTCTCTCTCAACATACATAGGATTCCCAACTTGTAGCAGCAATTTGAGCAAAGTCAAATATTTGATTATTGGGACAGTTAGTTCCAAATCTCTCACTCTCACTCATACATAGACACTCCATCTAGGCTCATGGGAAGCCTACTCTCTAAGTGGGGTACAATGTCCCTAGTCTGTAAGAGCGTCTAAAATCTTCCTGCCTCCAACTAGTCTATTAGCGGGTCTAGAATCCCTTCCCTCTCGCCAGTACGTCTCAGTCTAGAGTCTACAATCCCTGTCCCTTCGCTTAGCAGTGAACGAAATGAACGGAACTATTTAAGCAGGTAGGTTAGGTCCCTATCCCGTGACTTGTTATCACCTCCTTAAAAAGCCTCCATATTCTCTCCCACCTCCTTGAAAAGGCTCCATATTGCTCCCAAACATGAATTAGAGATCAAAAGAGAGAGATGAAGCGGATTCATAGCTTCAGACAACTCCTCTTAGTTTGTCTCCTCCTAGCAGCTTCTCAACAGCAAAACCTCACAACATTCATGGTTCATGCCATGCAACCAGGTTACTTTTGCCTTCACTTCAGAATTCATTGAATCAAATATTATTTCTTGAAGCAACTAGTATAACCTTCTAACTCTTTCCTACTCTACAGCCGATGCCATATTTCAGATGGCTCACCCCGGTGCAAACAATGTCACCGTTGCCTTTAGCAACCAAGTAAGCTCTCTCTCTCTCTCTCTCTCTCTCTCTCTCTGCGTGTGCGCTGAACACGTGGACATGTCTGTACTAATTTACTTGCAAACACAAATGGGTGTGCAAGTGCATATACATATAAATGATTGTCTTGTTTTAACTATGTTTGTTCAAAGGAGAAAGAAAGAGCAAATGCCCCTACTCAAGGGAGGAAGGTCGGCAAGAACTCCGGCAAACGAAGGTTACACAAAGTTCCTTCTGGACCCAACCCAATTGGGAATCGGCATCCTCCTTCACATGCCTAGCTATAGAGAGAGAGAGAGAGAGAGAGAGAGAGAGAGAGAGAGAGAGAGAGTACGTTGGTACGTAGGTTAGTTAGTTAGGTAAGTAAACGTAGTAATTACGTAGGTTTGGGGTAGTACGTAGTAATAAGTAACGTAAAAGTTATTTA